TTTGCATGAAACAATAAGCTACTAGGAACAAGTGCATCGCTTCTGGTAACAAGTGCCTTACTACTAGTAACAAGAAGCTGTTAGAAACAAGAATTAATATGACGATGATTTGATCTACCCTTCCTTTCAAATTGAAGGCGTTGTTCCTTTCATGCGGTCACTGAGGGCGTGCTCTATCAGCGACACCATACATCTTCTGAAAGAGAAAATCGGCAAAAATGTTCTTTTTTCTAATAGCTTCTTGTTACTACTAGTAGGGCACTCGTTACTAGAAGCGATGCACTTGTTCCTAGTAGCTTATTGTGTCATACCCACTTTCGGACCTTTTTTCAACAAACTCGATCTTCTAAGGTCATTGCCCCAGTCGATAGGCACCCTGAAAGGGCGCAAGCATGTTTCTTTCAGACGGCAAGACTTGCTAGCTGCTGGGAAGGCCGCCAGGCCCCAAACGGCAATATGCTAAGCTACTAACTAGTAACAAAAACATCGCTACTAGTAGCAAGAAGCTACTAGTAACAAGGGCATGGCTACTAGTAAACCAAAATGATTTCCATATATTTCAATGGTGTATGTTCATCCTCTTTTGGAGCAGCCGGAGGCGCCGGTCGGTAGGGGCGGGAAAAGGTAAAAATTGAGTGTTGCTAGTTGACAACCCAAAGTGTTTTCTGTGTTTTTCAAGCACGTTTCTCCCTAAGGGAGAAAAAGACGATTCCTTGAAGAACTCTTCGCATGGATTTGGAACACAAACTCTTCAAGCATCAGACCTGCTCCGACTTCTCATCCATGTCGATCCCAGAATTACAGATCTGGACGGACGACCATACACAAGAGGACACGTGAGCTTCCTGTTCTCAAAACGAGAAGGCACATCCTGCCTTTGATGATCTCCTTCTACACATAAGTCTTAAATCATCTTTTGTTGTCCTTGCAAGATACTGCAAAAATGCAGCACAAAACCTTCTCGGACATATGGAAAAAAGCTTACGTTTTGTCGCACCTCTGTCCCTGTATGTGTTCGTGCGCGACTTACATGAGAGGCCCACAGACCAGTACAGCTGCTTCCAGTAAGATTAGGGCCAACTGTGACGTACCCTCATTCAAGCCCACAAGGAAAAGGTCGAAACTTGCGCGATGGCCTCCAACCTAATAGCAAACTACATTAGATATGTCCATGTCCATATACATTGTGCTAAAGACTCCAAGCCTGCTTCGCCGTAGAATTCCTTTGTTTGTGAGGATGGGAAAAATGGAGAGAATGAAAGAAGGGAAGACAAAAAATAAGAAGGTCTAAAAAAAAAGAAACAAACGAAAGAACAAAGAGAGTGCAAATGAGGTGTTTGCTTTTCTTCTGACGTAAGTGGATACTTGCGGTTGCTTGCGGTCACTAGTGGTCACTCGTTCCCAACGGGCAAAGACATTGAGGGCCCAGATGCAAGTGCCGTAGAGTGCCTAGTGGACCAAACGTGTACTGCGGCGTGGCACCGCATTGTGCGGATTCAGACCTACTAGCGATGGCCACCAACCTAATAGCAAACTGTATTGGACCTTGTGTTTCGGCTACCTCGTGTGGAAGATGATTGAATGTTCCATTGTTTGGTGGCTATTGCTTTGCCTATGTGTTTGTATTTGGAGCGCAATGGCAAGATTTTCATGAAATGAATTAATGGTTCGCCTCATTTGCATTTGGATTTACGGAGTGCCTATGTTTTGCACTTGCTGTTTAGTTGTTGATATACTGCAACTATATGCAGTTGGTATCAAACACAGAAATAGATCTACAAATGTTGGCTTTTAAAACTGTGCAAGCAGAGATGCAAACGTTGAAAAAACTTGTCTAGGAGCAAGGACGCTATTAGGTGGAGGCCATCGCAAGTAGGCTGGAGGCCATCGCTTCAAGGAACAAGAAGCTACTAGTAAGGCACTTGTTTCTAATAGCTTCTTTGTTACTACTAGTAAGGCACCTGTTACTACTAGCGTGGCACTTGTTACTAGTAGCTAGAATCAGCTAGAAGTTGTCTGAAATGTATTTCTAACCGGTCTGTCGGAATCGTGTCCTCACGTCGCTCCTGTTCCTTTCAAGTCGTTGCTTTCAGTTTTGAGTCATCCCTTTCGTTAGGTTGGAGGCCATTGCTAATAGGTATAAGTTATAAGTTGTTGCTTTCGGTTTTAAATCTTCCATAATTATCCGTCTCAAGTCATCTTCATGTCAAGTCTTTCCTATCCCTCCTGATTTTGGGCCGCCCGTTTTCGTTTGATTTTGCCTGGTGCAAGCATAATACTTTCTGTGAAGACCAAAAAAAAGGCAAAGCCTGTCAGACCCTCTTGCGTCACTTGTAGTCACTTGAGCTCACGTGCTTCGATTTTAGGCTTTGCGTCTTGACGTCGAATCTCTGCTCTAAGACTCCTTGCGCATGAACAGTTTTAGATTTCTTGTAGCCTGAAAGACACCAGAGGTCACCCGTGGTTACTGGCGCTTCTATTTGCGGCTGGGCAAGCAGCAACTAGTAGTAAGAATGTTCCTAGTCGTATGGCATTGTAACCCTAGTAGCTTCTTGTTACTGGTAGTAAGAATGCTACTAGTAGCGATGCCCGGGTTCCTAGTAGCGAACATTGCTCCTAGTAGTAAGGCCAGGAGCCCCGAACGTAGCGTCCGAACGCTCCTAGTAGAGATGCACTTGTTACTAATAGCTTCTTGTTTCTAATAGCTTCTTGTTACTACTAGTAAGGCACTTGTTCCTAGAAGCAATGGTTATTCCGCTGTTCAGACCTTTGGAGCACAACCCCTCCCCCCCTCTCCAGTCCTGCACCACCTTCCAGCAAGCCGCAGAGCATTACGGCTGAGCCAGAATTCCGCCGGAAGATACATGTAGCAGATCATCCTCAAGCGTAGACTCTACTGGGAGCAAAGGGCATCGCTATTAAGAGCAAGGACGCTACTACCGGCTCCTGGCCTTACTACTAGGAACAAGGACGCTACTAGATACATGTAGCAGATCATCTCCTCAAGCTGGTAACTGATCATTTCCTAAAGCGCCTAAAGCTCTGCCCTCGCTGACATCACCCTTTTTGGACTGTCTGAGGAGCGCTGCGAAGCGCTGCGTGCCAAACAAGCCGAGGACTGTCAGAGCCCCTAAAGGGATGAAGTGCACGACCAGCTACCGACAACCGTGGCAGTGCAGCTTTCTCGTCCAGTCTGTTGGAGCTTCTTGTTACTACTAGTACGGCACCTGTTACTAGTAGCGATGCACTTGTTTCTAATAGCTTCTTGATATGTCACAATATGCGTGGCTTTGGATTGTCTTTCGCAAGAAGCGGGACCTACAACAAACAAGGCAGGCAACCAAGGTCACCTGTTAATTCAGGAAGTTGCCTCAACTTTCGGGTTAATCTTCCCCCTATGATTTTCCAGAAATGAACAGCTTCGAAAAAATATCTCAGCTTCTTTGAGGCCCACAACTATACATCTACACCCTTTGGACACCACTTCCCCCAACAATTTGGCAGTTTAAAGCTGGAAGTCTGGAGGCTATCGCTATTAGGTTGGAGACAATCGCTATTGGGTTGGAGGCCATTGCTAGTAGGTGGAAAGTCTGTGTCGGTGGAAAGTAGGTGGCGATCTTGCTAGCTACTAGCGTCTTCACGGCCTACACCCTCCAGTACAACCAACTAGTTACACAAATTACATATTTGTACAACATGTAAGAGAAAAGAAAATGAAAAGTATAATTGTACTTTGTTTTGTTTAAATAGCAACAAGTAATCTGTTAATGATACAATAAAACTAGTAGATGCATAGTAAGTAAACAGTAATATCTCGAGGTCAAGCATTAAGACTAGAGCTCAGGGCAGTGACATTCAAAACACAAATACTGCTCGCCTTCAAATACTTTGCGTATTCTTTGGGGCAAAGATCTTGTCATGTATTTTGTCACGTTTTATTGATGTTGTTATTTACCCTGTTTTCTTGCTTCGTTCTTCCCTTTTTCGCCTTCTTTTTGCTTGCCTTCTTCTGAGCCAAATCGCTACGTTCAGGCGTATCGACTGCGCAAATGTACATCATGGTTTATCTTCGCGTGAAAAATCGGTTAGGGACGTTCTCTGACGTTTTGAGGCCCTTTGGGGTTGGGGGAGGCTCTATCGCTGAGCTGGCAGTGTGACATTCTGGTTTCAATGACGCTCATCTCTATATCTCGTCAATCACTGTAGTTGAGACTATACCGCTCTTCAAACACGATCTGCATCTCTGACGACCCACCGAAACTCATAGCAGGGTCGTTCACGGTGCAGGTGGCTGGGCCTTCGTGTCGATATATGTCCGCTACTAGGAGCAAGGGCATCGCTACTAGGAGCTCCTGGCATCGCTACTAGGAGCAAGGACGCTACTAGTGCTCAAGACTGGTGGCATGAGGCCTCGCATCCTGACTTTGATCCCTTGCACTAGTAGTCTAGTAGTGCTGTTGCAGTTGAGTGAATTGTTCAAATGTAGAAGAACTGCCGAAGCGCGGACTTGCGGTAGTGTTGGTGACGACGTTCTGCGGGAAACCTTGAGCCTTTGTTTGGATGAAGATTGATGGCCTTTGAAACTGTTGCGTTGGTTCCAGGTTTGAACACCTTTTGGGAACTCGTCAGGTTTCCATACATTGTGGTTTCCGGAGGCGGCCTCTGTGCGTTCATGTTTTCCTCTTCATTTGTTTTTGCTTTCTTTAGACCTTTAGACCTTTGGTCACACTAGGGGTTCTTACAATAGTTTTGCTGGGTGCTCTAGATCATTCTAGATCTAGGTGCCGCGCGGTCGGGGGGCTCATCTTTCATCCTGGTTACCGTACAATCATGCTGTATCACTTTCATTTTCGTCGACGGTCTCGCAAGAAAACGCACAACCCTTTTACTTCGATGTGCTGAGAAATCGTGGCAGGCGCAGCACTTTGTGAACCTTGGAGTTTAAGCACCCTTTCATAGCCAACGATACAGTAATTATCTCACAACTTCCAAGAGTACAAGCAGTATCCAAAAACTGCTCTGCCACGGCCTCCCATTCTGTCGTCTTCAGGCATCACGCAGCTCCAAATTGACAGCAAATTGCAACAACTGTATTAAATCGATTGGTAGTGAGCTACTGGATGTCGCGATTGTTTTTCGTCTTGTGGTATTGTTCGAAGCAATGCCACTGATCTCATCCCTCGTCATCCTCCTCACGGGCATCTTCAAAGATTCTCATTTGTGTCTGCTGGCAAACTCTAGGCGTGCCAAACCAAAGGTTCTAAAGGTCTAAAGAAAAAGAAAGAAAAGTTTAAAAGTTTAAAGAAAGCAAGAAGGAAATTATTTGTTTCAAAAAACAAATAATAGATAATACAAAGAAACAAATGAATGAATGAAGGAATGAATGAACGAATGAATGAATGAATGAATGAACGAATGAATGAATGAACGAATGAATGAATGAATGATTGAATGAACGAATGAATGAACGGATGAATGGATGAATTAATGAATGAATGAACGAATGAATGAATGAATGAACGAAGGAATGAATGAATGAATGAATGAAGGAATGAATGAACGAAGGAATGAATGAATGAATGAACAGAAAAGAAATGTCTAAAGATTCTTGGTCCTACCGAAAAAGTAAAATACAAACTTTACCTCGAGACGTCGAGCGCTTCCCACCCTGAGAGGCGATTCGGAAGAAGGAAGGGCACGTGTATTGACAGACCATCCTGACAAAAGCTGCCTGACATATGCACTGGCACCTAGTAGATTCTTGCTCCTAGTAGCGATGTCAGGAGCCCTTAGTAGCGTCCTTGCTCCTAGTAGTAAGGCCAGGAGCCCCTAGTAGCTTCTTGTTCCTACTAGGCTTCTTGTTACTGGCACAATGTTCTGATAGCTGGTATGTGCCCTGACGTCTGACATATCTTCTGGCATGTACTTCTGATATGTGCTCTCGCACCTAGCTGACAAGTGCTCTGACATGTAATGTGGCGTAATGGAATGACTTCGGTTCTGATATGCGCTCTGCCATGTATTCCGACATGTGTTCTGCCATCAGACCTGCCACATGATCCGACATAATTCACGCCATGTGATTTGCCATTCTACGTGGCAATTTTTCCGACATACAGTCTTCCTGGCATCTATTGAGACATTCTTGCTGGCACTCTCTCTGGCATGCATTCTGGCATTCTATCCGGCATCTATTCTGACTCTTCCTGGCATTCTATCTGGCATCTATTCTGACAGTCTTCATGTATTCCTGCCTTCTATCTTGAATGGCATCTGTTCGGGTCCTAAGTGTTGGGGTCCAGGTGTGCCCACGCCAGGCTGGAGCTCCGCCCGAGAAGAGGAGTGGTACCTTTCATTAAAACAAAATACCCTCACCTGTAGGTGGGAACAAAAAAATGGAAATATGAGAAAAGGAAGAAAAGAAAGAAAGGTCTAAAGGTTCTAAAGGTCTATTTTAAAGAATATCTAATATACAAAAAAAATGGACATGTTCAAACTGCCATTGCCAAGTCCTCTGGAAGCGCCAACGCTTCTTTTTGACGGTTGAAATAGGGTCGCAGCACCCATTCAACCTGCAAAGTGATGCTTTGTGCTCCATTCATTTAATTCTAATTAAGTATTAATCTAAAAGGTCCTAGTAGCGTCCTTGTTACTACTAGTAAGGCACTTGTTACTAGTAGCGATGCACTTGTTCCTAATTGAATTTTTCAATTATATTTTGCAGCACAAAGCATCGCTAGTAGGTTGGAGGTTCGAAGCAAAGACATACTGTCTCACAATTGTGTCCTACGTGTCCAACTTTCGGCTTCACTCGCCTCTACGTCCTTCATGTCAATTGCCCCAAGCTCCAAGCGAAAAAGCCTGAGGTGTTGGCACGGGAACTTGGAGCACTGTGTGCTTGTCCATTGATCCATGGAGGATGGCATGAAAAGGATGCCATTGGCTTTGAGTGCTCTCTGGCAATCAGAAGTATTGCAAGGATGTCCTGCTTAACCCTGTGAGGTGGAATGAGCTGTGCGCCAAGATAAAGCAAGGTATGCGCCCCCCGGGAAGAGCGTGCATCTTCGACAAGCCGTTCGTGACGCGATGAAAGAACTTGCAAAGAAAATGTGGCATTCCTATTGGGTTGGAGGCCTTCGCTAAGCGGTGGTGAAATCCAAGGTTCAAAAATACGCCTTTCGAGGAAAGAGAACAAAACCCTGTCGAGCCGATCTTCCAATAAGTACTAGTCTAGCGTCAAGGACTTCAAGGAAGCAAAACCAAAGCGCTGTTTTGCAATACCCTTTACCACCTCTACAACAGCGGTGCACTTGCCAATCCTTCGCCATCTCACATTTTGTAGCTCTGACTTGTGTCGCGGCTCAGAGTGTAGATTACTGTAGATTGCGACGTATTGCCAGGGAGCACATGCCAGCTATTCCCAGTACATACATGTACATACCAGGACTCACCATCCCCCCCACTCAACCAGGGATTATTATATAGACTTGCGGGTTCAGGGTAGGGTCAGGGTTCTTCGCACGGAGTCCGTTTCGCACTGTTAATCGCATGGAATAGCTGACAACTCGATTCATTGTTTGCCGCTTAAGGCCCCTTTTGCCTCGTGGGCATCCAGCGTTTGCATCAGGGAATCGAGTGTCCCCTTGTGGGCATCCAGTGAGTTCTGGCCGTACTATTTCCCAGGAGTGTCCATTGCTTTGCTCCCACATGTGCACTCTACCTTGTACACCCGCTCAACGTCCCCTGCGCACGACCTTTTAAGTACGCTCGTCAGAATTTCCTCTGCCAGGACAGTCAATTACAAAAGTGGTGACCATCAATCAGCTGATTTCTTGCGACTAATTTCAATGCAACGACGGTCTTTTGCTCTGCGCCTCATGGCAAATCGAGGACCATTCTCGGTCAGTGTTACATGGTTAGCCTCAGCTTCTGAGTTCAAAAGAGGGCAGTAACAAGGGCATCGCTACTAGTAGTAATGCCCCTTGTTACTAGTAGCAATGCCCAGACCAATTGTTGCGTTTCGCATTGTGTATTCCAACCCGAGAAGGATGGCCATCACCAGGACGACCCTTTGGCCTGGCGCATTCTACAGAGCACCATCGCAAAGACACCGTGCAAACACCATGCACGTTGCCATTCGTTGCCTGACAAAGTTGTGGTGGCGAAAGTGGATGACATCGCGACCGCACTCGACAAGTTACAAAATGCTCCTCCAACCCAATAGCGTCCTTGCTCCTAGTAGTAAGGCCAGGAGCCCTTAGTAGCTTCTTGTTACTAGTAGCGATGCCAGGAGCCCCGTGCGTAGCTTCTTGTTACTACTAGTAAGGCACTTGTTGCTAGTAGCTTCTTTGTTACTAGAAGCGATGCACTTGTTCCTAATAGCTTCTTGTTACTACTAGTAAGGCACCTGTTACTAGTAGCGTGGCACTTGTTCCTAGTAGCGTCATCTCTTGACATCTCAGAACTTCGAGGTGCCAACGGTTTGCAAAGGTCATCACCCGATCACCTGCTTGCTTAGCAGGAGGAAAAAGGGCCTCAGCTTGGAGCAGCTTAGCCGAAAAAAGCACATGTGGCACAGCAAAGTACCAAGCACGAAAGCACAAAGCAAGTGAGAGCACGAGAGTAAATGAAACAATATGATCTCATGTCATCGCATGTCGGCCTGGAGGATCGTCTTGAGTCTTAAGCCGGTCTTGGCTGTAAACCCGTGGAAAATCAAATGTGGGTTTGCCTGCCGCAGTCTTCCACATGTCAAGTCACCAAATGTGGTGCTATTGAGCAGTTCAAGAAGGCAAGAATTTCCAAAACACAATGTGCATCTGTTCTCGGCACCTCCGACATAGTTGGAGGCTTTTCCGCTAGGTCATGCCGCAACACGACATTGGACAAGCCTTGAAGGACACAGTCAGGACACAAGCTTTATCATTTTGCATCAAGCTCCACTTTATCATCTGTTGAATCTGTTCCAAGTTGTTCCAAGTTCTTCTACCTTCTTTCTGAAAGAGTTACCATCTGGTTGAAACCCTCCTGAGCTCAGATCCAAAGTATGCCGTGGGGCCAAATGGCAGGTGGCACACGACCATGCCATCTGGTTCCCCCCTGTGCTCGTGGACAATGATGACCTCACGGCAGCTTTATGTAGCAAGAAACATAGATGCCACAGGTGCAAATTTGCTTTGAGGGAACTTAACATATAGGTTGGAGGCCATCGCTACTAGGGTGGAGGCCATCGCTATCAACTTAGACTAATGTAAACTGCTAGTGCAATCTAGTGCACATTTTGCACACCACAAAATACTGGGATGTCAGCATCTGTCATTTCATGTGACCTTGCCAGCTGCATCAAATCCTCAAAAAACACAGAGCAGAACTGCACAAAAGACTGGGGAACAGAGTCTAGTTGAGTGGAAACATTCATTCGTTTTCATGTTGGTCTCCGCAGGAAACCACCATCCTTCACCACGTAGCCACCTCTATTCATCCGCTGGGCACCGGGAAACCTGAGAGGCAAACATGTTGAGAGTTATTTTTGACTTTTCGAGACATCGCTCCCTAAAACCAAAGCCAATCAGGACTGACTAATGCAAAAAAATCTAGACACCAAATAAATAGAAGCGCGAGCTATTGTGCTATCCTGCATCCAGCTACTAGGAGCATGTTACAGTACTTACTTAAGCCGCGAACTTACCTTTTCCTCTAGCAGCCTACCACCCTCCTCCCTTGTAGTGATGGCCTCCAACATAATAGTGATGGCCTCCAACCTTATAGCAATGGCCTCCAACCTAATCGCGATGGCCTCCAACCCAATAGTGATGGCCTCCAACCCAATATTGATGGCCTCCAACCCAAGAGTGATGACCTCCAAGGTAACAGTGATGGCCTCCAACCTAATCGCGATGGCCTCCAACCCAATAGTGATGGCCTCCAACCCAATAGTGATGGCCTCCAACCCAATAGCGATGGCCTCGAACCTAAGATGAGTGATGACCTCCAAGGTAATTCTGATGGCCTCCAACCTAATAGCAATGGCCTCCGACCCAAGATGAGTGATGACCTCCAACCTAATAGCAATGGCCTCCAACCCAATAGTGATGGCCTTCAACCTTATAGCAATGGCCTCCAACCTTATAGCAATGGCCACCCTCTCGTTCTGATTCAAAAAGACCTCTGAGGTGCCTACAACATTCTGAGTTCTTTCAAGAACTGACTGAGGCGAGATGATGGGTCTCGTGAGGTGGTCAGGAGCACCTTGGCCAAGAAAGATCCGTTTGGTTTCACGCAAAAGCGATGCCGCTATGCCAACAGCAAAAAGAGTAAACACATGCAAAAACAAGAAAAGCTAAGGAAACTGTAGGAAATTATAGAAAACTGTACAAAACGACTGTTTCTCATACCGTAATGATATATGACATGATATGACTCTGATATGACTAACTGCTTTATGTGGACCACCCTCTTCCATGATCTACCCACTCTGGCGGTCTGCGGCCCTGCCAATAATAGGGACACATTTGCCATCATTATCCAAACAACAAATTGCCTTTGCTGGACGCTGCGTCCCGCACACACCCGACTGTTCAACAAGTGACTAAAAGATTCGCCTGCACTGCAACGTGAAGGGCATGCTTTAAGGTACTGTACAGTCGTAGTCAATCGATCCTGGGATATGATGCTAAGCTACCTGTGGAACATGACAAGGAGGTCTTTCTACCGTGTGCATGCCAGGAAACCAAGCGCACCAAAGAAAGCAGACCAACGTGCGTCAAATGCCAACAAAAGGCCAGTTGCAAAAAATACCCCAAAAGGCAACCACCACTGAGCCATTGCATACGCAACATGACCTTGAGTTTGACACTGCGCTCAACTCGACTGAAGGGCAGCATGAACGAGGTGGCCACTGTAAATCCACCAAAGAATAGGGCCTCCACCCCAATAGCGATGGCCTCCAACCTAAGAGCGGCCTCCAACCTAATAGTGAGTGTTTTCGCCACGAGCAACGGACCTAGCAGGAAACAAAGCGTGGAAACTTGGACAAAATGGACATCGGCGACGCACAAGCAAGGTAGCAAGAAGCTACTAGACTAGGAACAAGGACGCCACTAGTAACAGTCTTTGAAGCTAATAGTAACAATAAAGCTACTAGTAGGTCTTTGAAGCTTTCTAGTAACAAGAAGCTACCAGGTGGAGGCCGTTACTACTATGGAGCAAGGACGCTATTAGGTGGCGATCGCTTCTAGGTTGGAGGCCATCGCTAGTAGGATGGAGGTCATCGCTATTAGGTTGTGAAAAGAAGAACAGGATGTGCAACAGGCCTATTTCACACACATGTGCAGAATATTCCTTGCTTGGCTACAAGAATTCCGTTCTTTTCTCTGAAACAATTAAAGAACTTGTAGTGTAATCAAAAAGGTCTCAAGTAACGATGAAAAGAAAAGGTTTAAAGAAAAAGAAACACAAAGGGATTCCGTTCTTTGAATTCCTTGGAGCCCCCGACTTTGGGATCCTTCACGCCGAGAAAAGCGTACTCATCATCAATGGCCTTTCTCTGCTCTTTGGTCCGGTCGTCTGCTAAATCCAAGGTCTGGCAAAACGGGTCGAAGAAGAAGGTGAACAGCGCTTTTAGGTTGGAGGCCTTGAGGGCCTCATGAGTATCGTATGGTGAGAGTTTGTCTACGACAATTGCTTGACTTCATACCTTGTGTTCTAGCATGTCATGTCGCGAGCATGACGTGCTTGCACCCATCAAAAATGATGGGAAGCCTGTGGATTGCATCCTCAAAGAACCCTACAAAACCTGTGCAAGCTCTTCAACACCTTTCCAAAACCACCTCCGAGCTCCATATTCATGCTCCTTTCTCACAAGTAAGGCAACTACACTTGAGAGGTTGTATTTGCCCATCAGATCGGAAACCACTAAGAAATTACAAAACAACAATATAGACAAACACAACAGGGATTGTGGAACCAAGAAACACTGAAGACGGGTTAAGCACAACAAGATTTTTGTGAATCAAGATTGTTTCTCGTCTGAATTTGAGGCTTGGCTTTGAGTTTGACTGAATCGAGACTCTTAAACGCACACGTTTTCTCTTATTCACAAACTACACAAAGATCCTGCCGAAATACAGCAACCCTCCCTGCCCCTGTTGGACGACCAAAAGATTGCTATGTGCTTTCAGCCGGAAAAGGACTGAAACGAGTCCAAGGAACTGAAGTGCCACTACTAGCTTCTTGCTCCTGGAGCCCCTAGTAGCGAACATTGTTACTACTAGTAAGGCACTTGTTACTAGAAGCGATGCACTTGTTCCTACTAGCTTCTTGCTCCTAGTAGTAAGGCCAGGAGCCCCTAGTAGCGTCCGTGCTACTAGTAGGGATGCCCTTTGCTACTAGTAGCGTCCTTGCTCCTAGTGTGGAACACTTTCAACATCTGGAACCTTTTGAAAAAAAAAAGCACCGAATGGGCACCAGGAACTGGGCTATGTTACCTCCGAATTCACTCTGGCCCGTGCAAATCTCCACTCATGGCTGGCTCGCCTTTCGCAACTTCTTGTCCTCGCCTTTCAACTCTGTTGGAATGGCTTTATTCTTGTCCAAGGCCTCTGCAGGGGAGAGAGGGAGAGGGTCCAAAATGTGCCTTGCAAGAACAACGTGCAGATCTCCAACTTGTCATCTGGCGATGTCAGCCACGTTCGAGATTGCCACGGACAACCTCTACATAGGTGAAAGTTTGCTGTTTGGACCTCTCCAAATTGCATGAGGTAGTCCACCGTTTGCATGACACCAGCTACGTGTGCAGAAGTCCATGTCCAGTTTTTTGAACAGGGACAACATGAAGCTACTAGGTGGAGGCCATCGCTATTAGGTTGGAGGCCATTACTACTAGTAACAAGAAGCTACTGTTGTTTTGTTGTCCCAGGGTTCCGAGATCAGTCGTTTCAAGAAAATGAAGCGGCATGGCCGTCCATTGAACGCGCGATCAGTGTGCACCCGTGTTAGCATTGTCCCGGTGCCCCATGAGAACACAGTTCATGTATATCCTTCAAAGTACATTCTGGTCCTGCAGGAAATGCAGAACTTATTTCTTGCACTGCTACACCTTTGTGCATTCCGACGTTCTAGAAGTTCAAGACTTAAAAAGTCTTTACTCAAAATGATCACGCCACCTTCAGTGCGGGTGTGTTTCACTTGCTATGACAAACAATTTGTGCAAGCCATGGGTGACCCCAACATGTCCCACGTATGGTCAAGGCACGCTGTCAAAAGAAATAAGGTTTACGGGCAACAGTCTGGACCAAGTCTCGCTGAAACAAGTATTTCTTTTCTTTGCTTTTCTTTGGCAGAAAGGAAGGGAAGGGAGAAAGAAAGGTTCAAAGTTCAACAGGTCCAAAAGCAACAAAGGAAGATTGGAGACAAAAGGGCGGTACTAGTGTGGTTCTTTGCAATTGCACCTTCTAGCTTCGTGGCAAACCAGTCCACGTTGGCAAAGGGTTCACCAGCGGTAGCAAACCAATCCATGTTGATGCACCCTTGCTCCGCTAGTAACATACGGAATGTATCAGAATGCATTGGAGAACTCCCTGTCAGACAAATCTTTGTGTAGAATTCTTTAGAACCAGGAGCCCCTAGTAGTTTCTTGCTCCTAGTAGCGATGCCAGGAGCCCCTAGTAGCGTCCTTGCTCCTAGTAGGGCCAGGAGCCCCTAGTAGCTTCTTGTTCCTAGTAGCTTCTTTATTCAGAATGCAAAACATCTGAAACAAAAACCGTCTCGCACTGATCCCTCTTTCTCAGTGATCCCGAAAATCGACCTGTTTCAGAAAAGAAGAAAGACGTCTAAAGAATGTGTGTGTGTGTTTGTGTAAGGGGGGCAGGCCACTATAGGCTAGCTAGGGAGGTATAGGTAGCTAGTAGGGAGATGTAGCTAGTACCTATACTCTAGTAACTGGACGCAGGATAGCTCACACACTATTCATTTGGTTTCTAGATGTTTAGGGAAACTTGTCAAATCTGAAGAACGTAGAAATCTTTGTTCTCAAGAATGATGTATTGTAGATGCATCGAATGCGTAATCTCAGTCCTGGAAAGAAGACTGCAAAACGCCACGGGCCTCCTGGAGCTTCCTCTTCTTATCAAATGTTGTGGCTTCTCTATCTTCCAAAGCCTTGCGAGAGCAACAGTTTTGAAACTTCTTAGTAACTAGAAGCTACTGGGCTGGAGGCCATCGCTACTAGTAACAAGAAGCTTTAAGTATGTCTTTGAAGCTTAGCATCGTTTTGTGCTCTGCTCTGCCTTTTTGTACAAATACTCCTTGCGAAGTCGGGCATTGCGACGCAGCATGGCACCCCACTTGCAAGAAGCAACGTCAACCTATTTACCGTGCTTTCAGCTGAGCTCCAGAGATTTCTCGCAGAACTTCCAGAAAACGCATCCATGTAACCATGATAGCAATGGCCTCCAACCTAGCGATGGCCTCCATGATGTCAACCATGCTGTCAACAGATTGATTGGAGGCTCAGATGTTGCTACAGGCTTGGAACCATTGATGTCAGCTGATACACTCTTTTCCTTCTGGTTGTTACCTTGAATGGCACAAGAGATTGGTCTTCGAGTAGGCGACAAGAAGCGTCAACGTGCGCGATCTCATCTTTTTGACAGGCATCACGCGGGTCGCTCCCATTGAGATTGCCCTGTACCTGGCGCAGAACGGCACAACGCAGGTCAAGTTGAATTTCTGCATCAGCTTCCTTAAAGACTGCTGAACTCACTTCTGCTGTCCAAGTGGCTCTGATTGTGGTAAAACACATGGCCTTCTGCTGTTGAGTAGGCCACCCAGCCGGCAGGCAGCTGTCCCCAAGGGTTCCTAGGACCAAGGCACGACAAACATGTCGAAAGTAAGGTTTAAGAACCAGCGAACGACAAGAATAATAGAAAAAGGCCTCCCCCTAAGAGCGATGGCCTCCAACCTTATAGCGATGGCCTCCCCCTAGTAGAGGTCGCATGAATATCACGCATTCCTGTCCTTTCCACTTCCTCCAAAATGATTTCAGCTCAAGACTCTGCCATTGGTTGTCAGCTTCGCTTTCAGCCTTACCCTGTGCTGGAGCGGCTTCAGCTGTCAGTTCACTGTGCTGGTCTTGCCTAGCCTGCTGCTGCTGCTGCTGCTGCTGCTGCTGCTGCTGCTGTGGATAAGAAGCGACGTGACTAGTTTCCTGCTTTTGGTGAATGGCTTGTTGCTTGTCTTGCTGTTGAAGCTCCTGTGCTTCTTGACCTAGGCTTTGCTGCTCCCTGGGCTGCCACCCCAGTGTATCATGCACAGCTTCTTGCCGGTGCTGTTGGTGTGGCGTTGTGTGTTGATATGACTGTTGCTGCTGAAATGGCAAACCTTCTGGTCCATGTGTTCCATGTTGTTGGTGCAGTGTTGCTTGCTGGTCTGGCTGTTGCTGGTACTGAGCTTGTGAGCTATCTTGCCCGTGGCGTTGGTGTGTTGTTTGCTGGTGTGACTGCTGATGCTGCAAAGTTTGCACACCTTCTTGGCTGTGTTCGTGTCCGTAGAGTTTTGCCTGCTGCTGGTAAGACTGCTGTTGCTCCTGATGGCTAAAGTGCAGCTGTTGAGTTTGAGCATGCGACACAAGGTTTTGGCGGTCTTGTGTCAGTCCTGTTTGCATATCCTGCGTTGCTGTGTGCAGCGATCGTTCTTGATGGCCTTGCTGCTGAGAGCGCAAGTCAGTTTCTTGGTGATGCACCCATGTTTGAGGGGGACCGCTTGTGTGCTCTTGTCCTGGTTGCTGTGTTTGACGGCTGCTACGGTTGCTGCGTTGTTGCAACACTTCGTGCTCAGGTGTTTGCTGAGCTAAACCTTGGTTCTGCAATTCCTGCTGCGTTTCTTCGGCAAGAAGACCTCGGCCTGTCCAACATGATTCACGTTAGGCAGCTTAACAGCTAGACTAAACATGAACCGAGAACAAGAAGCCAAGCAGCAGAACAAATTTCAGAAACACATTTCCTCCCGGGGCCTTCTGGCGCCTCAAAGTCAACTTGGACACTTTGGCTTGCAGTGCCAACCTGAACTTCCTGAACTTCCTGAACTTCTGAGTGCCCAACATGCCAGCCATTTGCCACCTTCGCCTGCAATATTCCCGTGTTTGCATAGATGAGTGGCATGAGGCACTAAAACCAACACCAACCTCTAAATTGTTCACACAACCTGCTAGCACACAAAAAAGAAATCCAACCTCCCGCAGAGCAGCTCGTTCCTGTGAGGAAATTGTTCGAAGCCGGAAGCCTCTAAACAACTGCATGCTGCAGCGATGGCATCCAACCTACTAACGATGGCCTTCAACCACTAGCGACGGCCTCCACCCTAGTAGCGATGGCCTCCACCCAAGTAGCAATGGCCTCCAACCTACTAGCGATGGCCTCGACGGCCTCCACCCTAGTAGCGATGGCCTCCACCCAAGTAGCGATGGCCTCCAACCTACTAGCGATGTCCTCCAACCTACTAGTGATGGCCTCCAACCACTAGCGACGGCCTGCAACCTACTAGTGATGGCCTCCAACCTAGAACTATCTTGCATGGCCGATCAAAAGCTCGGCTACAAAACGTTGAGCACTTCTAGCCCTGTGGACTTTGCATTCGTATGGTCGACGAAGTTCTCAGATGGAACGTGTCTGTAAAGTACAAACGGTCTTCCCTCGCGAGCTTGTTCTCAAAGGCGCAAACAAAAATGAAACGTGTTTTGTCTCGTGGCCTCTCAAGCCATAAGCTACTAGGAACAAGTGCATCGCTACTAGTAACAAGTGCCTTACTAGTAGTAACAAGAAGCTATTAGAAACAATAAGCTACTAGGAACAAGTGCATCGCTACTAGTAACAAGTGCCTTACTAGTAGTAACAATGTTCGCTACTAGGGGCTCCTGGCCTAATTAGAATTAAATTAGTGCGCTCTGCATCTCATGCTACGTGTTGCTTCCGTTCTTTGGGTCGGCCAGAATAACGCCTGGCCGTATCAGCCTCTCCAGGCTGTAACGCATAATTGAATTCAAACCCGCCAGAACAATGTCTGCAAATGATGTATAAAGCCAAAAAATATGTGAGGGTTGTTGCTGGTTGTTATTAGTCTATATTTGTGGAGAGGGAAAAATGACATAAGTCGGTTGATATCTTTAAAAGCATTAACTTAAAGAATCCTTGGTGAAAAGCACCCTGAGATAACGGTTGAAAGTTGTTTCTTCTTAGCTGTTCTTACAAGGTCTATGTGGATCAGCCGCAGTCGAATTAGGAAGTCCATTTTGAGTGGCCAGTGTGGGACGGTCAATTCTTGATACCAACGATGTCTTCTTTTTGGGGCCAGGACGATAACAAAAATCAATTCCACGAAGGGGGCAACCGAGTAAACTGAAAATATTGAATAGTATCGCCCCCGTAAATAAAGCCGATGCTTTTTTGCTGGAGATGTTTCAATCAAAGAAACTGACTGATTAGTTTCCATGTTGTTAATTCCTTTGGAATACTTTTGATTCCCCTTTAAACTCTTTTTGAATGAATCCTTTTGGTTCTCATGGTAGATATTCACTGCTTGGATTCTCATGATTTTCACCCGTTGCTTTGTTGCTGCTTTGTTCATATCTCTGTTTCTCTCTCCTTTTGTTCCTTCCTGGCCCCTCTGCTTTCCTTAAGCCTTGCATTTCTCCTTGCTTCCTTCATTGCTTAACTGGTTGCTGCTGTCGTTCTTGCTCTTGACCTTATTTCCTACTTTCGTTACACGCACCACCTCCGCCTCCACCTCCTCCTCCACCTCCACCTCCTCCTCCTGTTCCTGCTCCTGCTCCTCCTCCTCCGCTACCACTTCTACCAACAAAATCTCCAGGTGACAGTTCTGTCAAGTGTGGAACATTTCTGCACTCAGGATTCTGTCCACAAGACCATGTCAAGCACCATATGGAAATCTTTACAAAGTACTTGTACGCATGCAACACGCATGCAACGCGGTAACGTGTCTGAATTTGTCTCCTGCAGGTCCAGCACACTTTGGCTGTGTTTTGCTGCCAGCTCGGAGATCACCTCCACTTCCAGTCACTCAGCGTCTTGTCTATTCTTCTTGGGCCTTCACGTCGTTCACTCTCACGCCTCAGCTTGCTTCCCAACTCGTTCCGCAGCAGCCTCCCAAGCACTCACCTGGGCAGTCCATCAGCTGGTTGACTTGATTTGGATAAGTTTTGAACTCTTTGAGAATCCTCTTATAGTTCACTCTTGCTTGCACACAGAGATTCACTCAAAAGCCTGGCCGGGCCTCCTTTACAGCACTGCTCGGCACGAAGTGGCCCAAGGGCTCCAGAAACCCGGCGGCCTGGCACCGGTGCGCTTCCGAATCCCATCATGCGATTTGCGCAGCACAGGTCGTGAAGTTCACAGCAGAAGGCTAGGGAATTACTGTAACTCAATATTTATGTCAAGAGCGACGCTACTAGGGGCTCCTGGCCTTACTACTAGGAGCAAGAAGCTACTAGGAGCAAAGGGCATCGCTACTAGGAGCAAAGAAGCTATTAGGGGCTCCTGGCATCGCTACTAGGAGCAACTAGGAACCCAGGCATCGCTAGTAGTAGCATTCTTACTACTAGTAACAAGAAGCTATTAGGGGCTACTGGCCGTACTGAGCCTCTAGACCTCTCACCCGCCTCTGGACAGCTGCGGTTGATAAGGCTTAGGACCTGGAACAAAGGCACAGAGGGGTTGGACCATCCAACTAGTGCTTTCGTTTAGTCATGTAGTGATGCGTACATGGTCATCACTTCACAGTACTCCCAACTCCAAATCAGGACAAGGTCGAAAGTCGAAAGTCCTACTAGTGACTTACTAGTGCTTCAAGAGCAGTGCTTCAATTATCTTCAAAGCATTTCATCGGCAATCTTTAGCTCGACCTACAGTCTACGAGTCTATGCGCAAAGAAAAACGAGAATTTCAGCGATCTTTGCAACGAAGTGATAGGAAGCATCTGTGGCTGTGGCAATAGAAGCGGATAGGACAAGCCAAATGAAGCAGATCACGCGGATCAAGAGCATGAAAGTCATGGACGAACCTTCACCTCACCTAACACAGAGGAGCACCTACAAACCGTGAGCAAGCAAAAGCCCGCAGGCGCGGGATGCTTAATCGAGTGGAGAGAAGGTTGCGTCCAACCTAATGGCCATGGCCAAACACGGAAAGAAGGCAGTAGCAATAGGGAGTGGAAGTGGAATATAGAAGAAGGATAAACTAAGAAGCTACTAGGGGCTCCTGGCATCGCTACTAGGAGCAAGGACGCTACTAGGGGCTCCTGGCCGCACTACTAGGAGCAAGGACACTACTAGGAGCAAAGGGCATCGCTACTAGGAGC